AGATAGATAGATAGATAGATAGATAGATAGATAGATAGATAGATAGAGCGAGCAGGTTCCAAGAGGGTAAACGGTTGTGAAAATCTTAACCTCTGGTCTTTAAAGTCCTACTTCTTTGCATGGGGAGATACAAACAGATCTGAGCTTCTTGTTCATTCTCACACTTCAACTTGATCCAAAAGCAGAAGACAATCACATCACTGACACACAACGTGAACTGAAACCATGAGGTAGATGGACTAGACCCCATAGACTCAATGTCATGCTTAAGTTATTAAAACAAAAAACAAACCACCAAACACTACTAACAGTCCCTGAATTTCCCACAGGTCAAGGAACATTGGGGATTTTTAGATATTTCCCCTCCTCTGCCTGGGAATTTTTCTTCCCCCCCCTCCTCCCTCCTGTCTCAAGACAATGCCTTCAAGCCTTTGAAACTGCATCCATTGTAAACAGCTCTGAATATTAACACAGCCCAGAGTCCTGTTGCGTTTTAAAAGACCCCCAGGGTTTCAAATTGCAGTTGCTGAGGAGGGGGAAGGTCCCAAGAGAACAAATGTCACCAAGCTCATTCAAAAGGAGTTGAAAATTAGGCTTGCTCATGAAACTTACAGTTCTTCAACCCATGGGGTAAGTCAGAAGAATCCTTTTGAGTTTTAAACAAATGAGAAAAAAAGAAAAGACAAGACCCTGGTACAACCAACATCCATTATTACTTATAGACTTTGAATTCAATGAATCCCTTTTCCAGATTCTCTCTCGTGTGGATGTCACTTTTAAAATAACCATAGGCTATGTTAAACAACTTCCCCGTCCTTGGCTCATAGGCCTTCAGGGCTTTAGCAGGTGCACAGAACTGGGCCAGGTGCATTGTTAAGTGACCAAAAAAAAAAAAAAAAAAAAACCCTAGTGGCTCTCTCGCATTCCTGTCCGCCCTGAAAGGGAGGATGCTGAAAAGCCTTTGCACCAAGGAGACACTTCTACAGAATGGGGGAGAGGCCCTTTCATTGTGAGCACGGTGTCTCAGGGAGAAAAGGTCAGCCAGAGGCCATCCCAACGTGCTCAGGGAAGGCTGCGTGGGGAACCCAGGCAAAGAAATGAACACTGCAGGGAGAGAAACCCGTCACTGAACGATCGGAGCTAGAGGACCGGGGCATCAGGACATCCAGGAGGAACGAGCTCTTATTACATTGCATTGAATCGTCTTCTCTTTTGGAGATGATGAATTATTCCTGACAACACATTCCAAAGCCCAAACCCTGTGAAATCTAGCGACCAAATGTGATTATGGAAAGAGAGGAGCACATCTCTTTTTAAAACAGTCCCTGGGAAAGAGGCCACGAACAGTTCTGACATATCCTAAAGGCAAGGGGCAACTGTGTGCCAACACAGTTCACTTCTATGGGGACGTGGGAGTCTCTGTACAATTCGTAATTTAACAGTATTCAAAAATTACATTTGATGCTTATAATTTCACATCAGAGGCACTTAAATAGTGTGCATTTCTCTCAAGGCACCCAATTTTATTTGCCAGATTCCCTTACGCAAAAACAGGTATCGGAGATCTAGTAACAGACAAGTGCTTCACCACGGAGGGGAAGTGAGGCCAGGCCAGGCTTCTGACACTTGTTGCAAAGACAAGGACCTGAGCCCAAACTAATTATTCCTCAAACTCTGAGAGCACTTGCACCTTTCAGATTTTCTGCCATTAACCTGTGTTTCTGAGGTTCCCTATTCCAAACAACCGCTGCCCATCTTCATAAATCACAAGATGGCGAAGGTCTGCTGAGTTCTTCAGTTTTACATACAGCCACAAAAAGGAAAACGGGCAGAAGGGAAGACCTCAGGGCAACCCTGACAATAATCAACTTCTCAAAACACACACACTCATACACACACACACACACATACGCGAATCTTAGCTGAGGTTCTGGAACAATTTGGTCATCGTTACTTTAAATCTAATTTGCATAAACAGGATGGGAAGTATTTTCCAAATCCTTAATTCACAACACTCTGCACACCTGGCCCTTCCAGCACAGCTGTAAAATTTGAAAGACAAAGGCCCTCTTTGCTTCACAACTACAATGGCAACCTGGGCTGGTGCTTATTTTCTAATGCAATCCTGAGCACCACTTTGGAGCCAAAACCCACAAGGTTAGATTTAAGCCCCTGGCTTGGTCCTGCACTGGCATAAGGAGACCTAACACAAAGAGACCCAAATCAATACACTCATCTTAACGTGGCTCAGGATAACCCCACTCGGAGTCCTTGAGTGAAAGTCCTTACTTTAAAAAGCTCTGTCTTGTCTTCCCTCCACAAAAAAGACCACTGAAAACCCGGATTTGTTCCTCCAGGGCCTGCCCTCCTTCCTATCCCAATGCCATGAGCCACCATGCAGCCCCCAGAACAGTTAAACTAGCAACCTACTGTGCTCAACTTCATGGCACAGGTAAGAGCCTAAGGTAAGTTGTATTTAATACTGCTTAAACTGCTTCTGAAGCCATGCTCTCAAAAATAATTTCAAAGAAAGCAAACATCTAAGTTCTAAGAAGTTCAACTTCTTCTAAAGTTCTGGGAAGTTGGAATAAGGCTTGGCAGTGCTTGGTGCTATTTATGAATGTGCTGGTCGGGCTATGCCAATCTCACCTACGTCATGGGATGGCAGACTCAGTTATGGCTCAACTACTACAACCATAAGTTATTGTGCTGAATAAGTTATCCTGAGGCCCCAGGAATGAATGTATTTTCCCTTCTACCAGTGCCATTCCATTTTTTCTTTTTTTTTTTTTATTTTTTTTTCAACATTTATTTATTTTTGGGACAGAGAGAGACAGAGCATGAACGGGGGAGGGGCAGAGAGAGAGGGAGACACAGAATCGGAAACAGGCTCCAGGCTCTGAGCCATCAGCCCAGAGCCCGACGCGGGGCTCGAACTCATGGACCGCGAGATCGTGACCTGGCTGAAGTCGGACGCTTAACCGACTGCGCCACCCAGGCGCCCCGCCATTCCATTTTTTCTATTCAAACTGCATTTACGTTCACTAGTAAGAAATTTTACTTTGCCTACGCTAAGCCTAGGAGCAACTCCAAAATTAGATGCACTGTTTACAAAAGCAAAAAACAAAACAACAAAAACTTCCATAAAACCACAGGTCCCCTTCTATCTCAAACCCACAGCCTGAAATTGTTTGAACTAGCTGCAGTAAATCTAGTTCATGGGGTTATAAATGAGCTCAAAGCAATTTTCTAGACACAATGGATTAAGGGTATAAACTTGGTGAAACTACAAGATATTTTATTTTATTATACACAGAGACTTTCTCTCCTAAAGTCTTGCTGAATCACAGCCAGGAATATAAACCATATAACTATCCTGATAGAAAACTCAGAATAAGACTAATGATTTAAATGGAGAAATCTGGTCTAGAAAACACACACACACACACACACACACACACGCACACACACACACACACACATACTACAACACACTTCATTTTTCTATAACCAGAAAAATAACTTTACAAATATTTTCCAAAAGATACCCACTTTGTAGTGAACATGGTATTAACACATACTAATCAGAAATCACTATTCACATCTCAAAATCTAATCAGTTAACACCATAATCAGCATAATCACATCGACTGAAGCTCAAAATACCCACTTAGGTATTTACTGGTCATCAAATGTGTGAGTGAAAGAGACAAGACTGCAATTGAAAAGGTATTTATGTCATGTGAAACGTCACTCCCAAGCAACAGGAAGCCAAAAAAACGGCCAGTAGTTTTGCTCCAAAAATTAAAGGACAAGGCAAAGTGGATCCTGTGACCACAGGAAAGTGCCAATAACAGGACACCCTATGCTGTCTGCAAAGTCACTACTTCTGAGCTAAGTGCCTTCCCCACAATGCCATGAACATATGGCATGGGTAGTCATTCTTCCAACAGGTGAACACTCAAGAAGTTATTCTGATTCTGCCCACGTGATTTGATTTGAAAAACTATCCTAAGAAAACGTAAAGGAAAAACCACAATACCTCAGACTGCCCCAAGTAAATGAAATACTACCTACGGGCAAGGCTGGGCTCTATCTCCTACTACTTAACAGCCACTGCCTCTATTAAACCCCCCACTATGACCACTGGTCTTCACTAAGTCACCGAATCACATAGAAAAAGCAGAAAATTGCAGGGGAAAAGCTAACCATAACAAAAGTCCAGCCTCAGAACTCTGAAGAACTTGATCCTTAGGCAATATGTAGCAAGACGCGAGTTAAAGATCTGCACCCCGTTCTCAGAGGCACCGGCTCTTCACGTGAGAAAGGAACCAACTTTTCTTCTTTCCCCTTCACAGCAGCCAGATACCCAGACCACTTTTTCTTAGCTCAAGCCACAGGTGTTGGTTAAAAGTTATGTCATCAGTTGTCCCTTCTTCAAACATTGAATGTCCTGTCTGAGGACACTCCTGTGCCCCTCTACATTCTAGGAAAGACGTCCAATTATCCAACTAAAAAGCAGATGACTCAAGCTAGGCCTTTTCTGGAAGGTACTCATAGTTCTGCATAGATGCTAATTACCTATAACTCGATAGGATTTGACTCAGGACCAGATTTCTTAAAAGTAGAAAAAAGGCTATTATACTCTACCATATTTAGTGAAGTCTAATGCAGCTTTTTCCTGCCAACTCTCCTGTAAGAAGGGTCCCACTAAGTCCCGATAGGCCAAAACTGTGACAACACAGAAAAGAACGTCTTTCAGGTGAAACAAACAGCTTAAATCAAGCAAGTCCCTGGCACCCTCTCCTGAAGTAACACAACTCCAAAACTAATTTGCACCCTTTACAGGGGAGAAATGCTCAAGTGTGGGCTCCACCCTACTGGACCATCAAATCCAAAAGCAAGGGTCTGGAAACACAGCTCCCATCAGGTGGAAAGAGACCAGCACCCCCAGCAATCACAGATCCAGGAACTCTCCAAGTCCCCTAACTCAGGGCTGCTCCGGGGAAGGCAACCTTCCACCGTGGCCACAGCCAAGTCAGGCCACGGGGTCCTGGGGGAGGAGAAGGCTGCTACACGCGCACTCTCGCTAATAAATAATGTAAATGGAAGACTGGAGCCAAGAGTCACCTTCATTCATTACCCACTGGAAGGCCAAGGAGCTCAGACACCAAAGAGTTGGGTTACAGGAGAGGAAAAAAAGAAACACACACCCGCAGACCCCAGACAGACTTCCTCACACTCTCGCCTCCAGATGTTTCCCACTCCACCCACACACATACGCACAAACACCCTCGCCTCCACACTCTTCACTCACACTCCCTCACCTTCAGACTCTACCTCCCAGATCGCCCTCAGGCCCCGGGCGCAATCACCTCCACACCCTAAAACCTATGCTCGCTCACCTCCAGACTCCACGAGGCAGCCTTTTCTCCCATGGAGCCGCATCACCCACGTTCTCACCTCTACACCCCAAAACCTATGCTCACTCACCTCCAAACGCCACGAGGCACACTCTTTTCTCCCCGGGACCCTCACCACCCACGTTCTCACTTCCACACCCCCATCTGGCACGCTCTTCCCCTCCGGACCCCCATGTACGATCTCACCACCGCGACACACACACAGGCACGCCCCTCAATCCGCACGCCCTTCCCGGGTAAGCACCCCAGCCTCCCCGTCCCCAAGTGACAGCGCCCCGAGGCTCAGGGGAAGGGCGGCACTTACAGGCTCCGCGTCCAGGCGGGCAGGTCCGGAGGCAGCGCTGCTAGCCCGCGCCCGCCGCAGTCCAGCGAGTCCCCCGCGCAAGTGCAGGCGGCGGCGCAAGGCGGTCGCGGGCCGGCCGCAGCCGTCGCGGGCCCCAGCCGAAGCAGCAGCAACAGCAGCCACAGGAGAGGACAGGGCGAGCGGCGCGGGGCCCCGAAAGCTCCCCGGACCGGCCGCGCCATCTTGTCTGGAACGCGCGGCGAACTCGGGGCGCGGGGGCTGCGAGGTCCCGGACGACCGCAGGCACCGGCTGGTCCGCGGGGGCTCCGCTCGGCACTAGGCTCTGCGCCGGGGCATGGCCGCCCGCACAAGTTTCCCCCGCTGCCGCGGCTCCGGCGCTCAGCAGGCCCCCGGTGCCCGGACCGCTCCGCAGCGCCCGGCTGGGGCCGCGAGCCCCGCGCCCATCCGGGCCGACCCGGCTGTGCTCGCTGCGAAGCCCACGGATCCGGGCAAGAGCTGCTCGGCCGGCTCTCCTCGTCCTCCCGCCGCGCTCCTGGCCGGATCTTGAGCCCCCGCGCACGCCAACTGCTGCCGCCGCCGGCCGAGGGCAGTGCGGCTGCCTCTGCTGCACAGAAAGCGCTCAGCCTCGCAGCCTGAGCTGTGCGCCCGAATGCATCTTCCTCTCGGCTCGGAGCGCCCGGCAGCCGACTCCGGGCTGGACGGCACGGTCACCCCCGCACTGCTTCGAGGGCCCCGTGCGCCTGGCTGTCCCAATGCCTTAGGCAGAGCGCGCGCGCGCAGTTCCGGGCTGTGCGCGGCTCCTCAGCGAGGCGAGAGCCCAGCCGACCTCGCGGCGGAACAATCAGTCGCTTGCCTCTCGCCTCCCCGCGGCCCAGCCCCGACGGGTCCCCGAGGCTCCACCCCCGGCCGCTCGCCCTCACACACCCCCTGGGCTCCGCGCCCCGCGGCCTTCTGCGGGCCCACGTTGGATGCTTTGCAACAGCGCCCCGCCACGCCCCCTGCCTGCTGCTCATTGGCTGCTGGAGACCAGGACGACCAGCCTGGAGAGCCATTGGTGCGCTCACCATGATCCCGCCCCTCCGACCACCCCGCCCCACTCTCTTTTCCCACCCAAGGTGTGAAGGGCGGGGGACTGGGAGGAGAAAGGGTGAGGCGTCCTCCGAGTCTTAAAGGGGACTTGCAGTCTGGTAGTGGAAAAGCGGGATGCAGACTGGAGAGAAGAGGAAAGACATGCCCTCTGGGGCTAGGGGAGGAGAGAAAGTTGATAAAGAGGGTAACGCCTCCACTTTGCAGTAGTCTGACCAAAAAGTTTCTTCTCTTCTTCCCTGGCTGTAAATAGAGCCAAGGATATAGAGCAAATCTACACTCGTTTTCCAGGTGCCCTCTAGGAGCATAGACACAGATTTAAAACTCCGCAAATTTCCTACCTATTGAGGCATCTTTACTTATTTCATTAGGGGTAGCCGCCTTCCTCATCTCACAACTTGAAGCTCCTTTCTGCTCCTGACTAGTTCTTGACCTCTTACACCCAGCAAGATGTCCTGGATTACCAAAATGAATGTGTGCTGCAGAAACCAAGTCTCAAAGGTGCACACACTTCCACCCCCAACCCCACCCTGGTTAAAGGGTACTTCTGAAAATGATCCAGCCTTCGAAAAAGGGGTTGCTTTGTTTGCTCCTTTGTTTAAATCAGGTCCTTTTAAGCCAGTTTTCAAGTACTCCTAGGAGACAGTGAGAAAAATAGTAGTTGTTACAAATCTTCTAACTTTAGCCCTTACAAGTCCGAACATAGTAGCCATGTGTTATGACAGCGCATCCAAAACGTAAGAGCGGGCGGGTGCGCGCGCTCGCGCGCGCGCGCGCGCGCACAAACACACACACACACACACACACACACACACACACTGAGAAAGGGAAAAGATTAGCCCGGTAATATATAGCTGCCCCTCTGGGCGTTTTGGTTTGCTGGTGTCTCATGTCCCTTGCCAAATGTATGCAAGTTTCTAACTTGACTGCACACATTGTCAGGAAAATTAAGCAAGTCAAGTCTGTTGAAAAACATTTGCTCTAGCAAATGAAATCTGACTTGTGTTTTATGGAACCGGAGGAGAGGAGACATTTCTCAGGGAAAAAAAGCAAAAACAGTTTTAAAGGGTTTTGTTCCATGTTTGAAGTATTCTAAGGGGGTTGTTTGAATTGAGATGTTAAACTTTTCCTCAACCAGAAGAGCTTTTCTTTAAGTGAAATTGGGTTTGGGCTTGGTTGTCTGATGGTTACTGGTTTCCTTCTTATTCCCTCCTCCCCCCCTTTTTTCTCCTCTCCCTTCATCTGATTAAGTATGCTATCAGATAATGGTGCTCACTTCTCTCTCTCTCTCTCTCTCTCTCTCTCTCTCTCTCTCTCTCTGTCTCTGTCTCTTTGCATGATCTCAGCAATGATGCCCAAAGCAATGTGTGTAAATCAATCCAAATATGATTCCCAAGAAACATTATCAGAAAAATGCTGCACCTGACCCTTCTACCCAGGGCTTTCACCAGCTTTTAAATTTCATTTGTAATTCACATAAACACACACCTTCCATTTGGACAAGAAGAAATGTATCTCTTTGTTATAATGCCTTAGTAATAGTAATAGTAATAAGCCAAGGAATGGAATTTGAAGGACCCCCAAATATAAGAGGTCCTGTATGTCAATGTTTCTTAAACTTTTCAAGACCAAGGAACACAAAACAGTAATTTAATGCAGAATACCCATGAACATTTCCTTCAAGAAAACCATCAGATCCTCCTAGCCTGACCCCCACCTCAAAACGAAACAATATACACAGCAAAAAGAAATTGAACTCATTGAACCTCTTGAGCTGCTGACCTAGACTTATCTTTCAGGGCTGTTCCATTAGAAGAACTGTAAAATGGATATTTCTTATCAGATGTTTTCCAAATGCTTGTGGGTGTACCTGTGCCATGCTGTTTGGGGACACCAAAATTTTGAAGGCTGGGTTTGAGAATCTACAAGGGAAGGGTGTGCCCACAAATCTAAAGCATCCCCTGTGGTCTAGTTACCATGCAGCCAGAGAGAAGGATTCCAACACCAGGGAACACTTGGGGGGACTGGGCGCCTGAGCCTTGGCAATTCCTCTCGTCTACAGCAGAGCATGAAGTCATGTCTGCTCCCCATACCATGTATGGAAGTTTGCCCACATACTAGCAACCTGCTTGTGATTGAAAGGAGAGTGTGGGCTTGGAGAGCAGCGATGTCGGGCTCAGGAGAGAATTCATCTGCGGCCGCAACCTAGGATCGGGAGACCTGAATAGCAACAACAATGGCAAATTTCTAAGGGAGTCCATGTCCCTGCTCCTCAAAGAGCAAGTCTTGGCGCACTCAGCATGGAGCAACAGTTGATTTGGAAACTCTGGGTCCTCGTTTTCCTCCACTGCCCTTTTCACAAGTTTAAATAATTATTTATTCCTTGAAGGGGACATCCAGGCTTTTCGGTTTTCTAGTTCATTTTAATTCACCGATGAGCAAACTCCAGGCATAAATCCCCCAGGAGAATCACAGCAGGTCTCTTTTTTTTTTTTAATTGTTTTTTATTATTTATTTTTGGGAGACAGAGAGAGTACAAGGAGGGGAGGGGCAGAGAGAGAGGGAGACACAGAATCCAAAGGAAGCTTCAGGCTGCGACCTGTCAGCACAGAGTCTGACACGGGGCTCGAACCCACAAAGCACGGGATCATGACCTGGGCCAAAGTCGGATACTTAACTGACTGAGCCACCCAGGCGCCCCGCAGGTCTCTCTTGAATACAGAAGCCCTAGTAATTGATCATTTTCAACCCACTGAAAAAGAGGAACCCAAAATCTAAATAGCCTAAAATCACCAAGTGGGGAGAGAAGCAAATGATAAAATCAAAACAAAGCAGGTTAATCATGGGAATTTCTTTTTAAACACAAATTCCATAGGACCGAATCATGGCAGTTTGTTACAGTTCTAGGTGGTGATAATTGGCGGTTTTATGGAACCCTGAGATTCAGAAGTGCTGTCTCACTGTTAGAAGAGGCTTTATATCATGTTCAGTACCTCAGAAGAGCACAGGGCAGCAGTCAGAAGACATGGCCTCTAGCCAGGCCTCATTACCATGAAGCCTTTCCTTAAACCTCGGTTTTTTCAAATGGAGAACAAGGATAATGGTACTTCTGACCTGAGTGCTAAGACAGTTAAGAAAGGGTCTGCTTTGAAACAAGACACAAGGGCCTGTATAAACTGCTTAGGGCTACCAACATCCAAGGCTGATCTTCAAGGTTATTGAATTTTTACACTGAAGAAATTGAGATTCCATATACATAGCATAGATGGAAATTTTTAGTAGGTGTTTTCAGCATAGAGTGTTCTCCCCCCCCCCAGGAATGCCACAAAGGGTTAATAATTACCTTTAAAACCCCTGAAGACTTGCTGGGTGATGACAGCCCAGCTCTGAGCCTGTTTTGTATCTCTCTCCCAAGGAAAAGAAAGCTGTATACTCATTAACTCCTTCCTCTCAATAATCTTGTCAAGGAGGTAGATCAGCCAGAGAAGGTAAGAGAAGAAGCTAGTGAGTTCAGGGATGGAATATGAGAAGAGTCAATCTTGAGATTCCTCTGTCCCCCATTCCAACATTTTTCTTTGGCAGAGGTGGGAAGAGGTTATGTTCTGTTGAGCAACCTCTGGCTATTGGAATACTGGTTCATGCCCAAATGGTGCCAAGCTTTCATTATAAAAAGAATGCTCAACTTGGGGCACCTGAATGGCTCGGCTCAGTCGGCTGAGCGTCTGATTCTTGGTTTCAGCTCAGGCCATGATCTCATGGTGCATGGGATCCAGCCCCACATGGGGCTCTGAACTGACAATGTGGAGCCTGCTTGGGATTCTGTCTCTCCCTCTGTCTCTCTGCCCATCCCCAACTCACACCTGCTCACTCCCTTTCAAAATAAATAAACTAAAAAAAGGAAAAA